AGGACAAGGAGCAGGAGCACCTGGACGAGCGCGAGAAGGCGCTCGCGTGGAAGGAGCATGAGGAGGCCGCCATCCGCGAGGCGCAGCCGGAGCTGACGCAGCACCAGGTCGCCATCCAGCTGCTGCTCAAGGACCTGCACCAGGTGGGTTTTCGCGATTTAGGGTTTTCGGGTCTCTGGTAATAGGGTTTTCAGGTGGCGGAGTCCCAGAACCACAATGGGTGCCATTCAGCTGCTCCTCAAGGGCCTTCGTCAGGTGAGGACCGACACAAAAAAAAATGCGCTCTACTTCAGGAGTGGTTGTTTGAAAAGTAGGCATTGCAAGCAGTGGATGGGACGGCGGGTGAGGGCCGACTCCAACAATCGTGCGCTCTCCTTCAGAAGTAGTTGTCCGACTCCTGTGCGTTGCAAGCAGTGAATGGGGGCCAGCGGCTACTTTTTTCCCCCCCTATTCTGTTGGCACGGGCAGAGGCGGAGAACCCAGCAATGGGTCGTTTGCAGACGTACGCAGAACCTTTAAAGTAGGCGGTAGTTTTCAAGGTGGTTGGAATCCATTTGTCTTTAAAAAATTGGGCGCCACATCTGGGCCATGTGAAGCAGCTGGATGAATCTTCCTTCAAGCCTTTATTCACGGCTGCAACATGGTCGCCAGACGCCAGAGTCGGTGACGCCAGACAAAAAGAAACACCTTGTCAACGGTGTTACCTTACTTAATGAAGAGAATTGGCGCGCAGGAAGAAGCGGGCCTGCAGGCCACAGCAGAGGAATCCTTTCAGAGTGTATGTGTGCGTCCCGTCACGCTTAAATTATCTCCTGCTATGTGAATGCCTGTTCTTTTCCCCAATCTGTCCTTCCCTCGCTCTTAAGCCTGCAAAGTATTCGGAGGTCTTTCGGAGCACGGTGGCCACATCAAGTCGCCGCTTCAATTCGGCTGACGCCTTCTGTCAACGCACCAAACGACGGCACGGAGAGACACTTTTCGTGGTGACAGTAATTTCCCGTATGGTGGCAGGTCGCAGACAGCCCCGGCCCGGACGAAGTATTGGGGAGGCTTTGCTTCTGTCCATTTCGTGACAGCCACTTCTCTGGTTTCTGATCCAGTTTCATCCATTTTATTTATTATTATCGATATATAATTGCAGGTGGAACAGAACGCCGAGTTGGGCGAGGACGAGAAGCGACTCCAGCTGCGGTCAATCCACAGCAGTATCGGCCTGCAACGCAACCTGCAAGCGCAGCTTGAACTGAACCAGAGGCACCAGGCGGAGCTCCTGCAGGCCGCAGCGTTGGCGCAGGCACAGGCGCAGGCGGCGCAAGGACACGTGGCATCGGGGGCGCAAGGACACGTGGCAACCGGGCCGCAGGGGCACGTGCCAGCGGCACCAGCGCCGGGGTTGCGGGGGGCGCCTGTGAGGGAGGACGGCGAGGGGAAGGCGCAGAAAGATTTTCGG